ACTGGTCATATAGGCTTTCAGGACCCAACCCTAGCAGAGGGTGAATGGTTCACTTTGCTGCCACTATCAGCAGTAACTGCCATATGAGCACAGAGCAAAATAATGGCGATTAACTAGCCAGTGCAATACACACATGCACTAATATGCACACATGGCTGGACCATCTACAACAACAAGGAACAAGGAAGCTCCGACAACAGCACACAAAGAGGTCGCATGACTTCATTCTCTATTCAGGACGCCATTACTCCCCCGTATCCTCACATAGCAAATAGTAGCTTGATGCTATATCAGTGCTCTGAATGTCACACACACAGTCTTTTAAGTTTTTTTTTTGGGAGTTTTATCTCTTTACCTAAAAAATAATATTCCTCAATACTCTTATCTGAATCGGTCAGGCAGCACAGTTAAGGTATTAAAGCACGTCCACATGACTAATAGGTCAGTTGAGATGCATTTCATGTGACCTGTCTGCTGCTTCCATGTGGGCAGATGAGATAAACAACACAGACCTTTGTGTGTGGATGTGCATGTAGGGATTTGTGTTGTTTCCTCTTTGCCTGCAGAACACATGTTTGTCGTTTATATTGACAAAAAGTGAACTGTTAGTGTGATGCATTGGGTTGAGTGTCTTTTTGCACTAATCTAAAACCTGACCATGAGTTTTGTTCATGTTTTGTGTGATTGTGTGTGTGTGTGTGTGTGTGTACTTGTGTGTGTGCATGTGTTTCAGCATGACATAATGTACATTTAGCGCTTGAAAGACTTTCTTACTGTATGTTCATCTCTGTGTATACTGTGTAAGTATATCCAGAGGAATGCAATATACATAACATAGGCTACTCAGTTGCAGCTGTGTAGCATGCAGCTGCAAAGTTACCATACACAGTTACAAGAACCCGCACAGGCAGACACACCCACATATTTCAAATATTCTCCATACATTTTGCAACATGTGTTACATGCGATTTGCTATGGTGTTTAAAAACCACACACTGATAAACCTGTGTGTACTGGAGAGCGATGCTTTGTACATCTTTTACTTTTTATGTCTGCTATTGGTTTTAGATATTTTAACATGCTGTACTTTCTGTCATTCAGAGAAGGCATGTTGCCTTTCTTTTTATTTCTGAACAAGAACTCTCAGATCCTTCCCTGCTGTTCTTTAGAAGTTCCCAAAGTGTCCCGCAAGAAATCTGCCAAGTTTTTGGAACATCCTCCCCTTGGATCTTAGAGCAGCAAAGTTCCTTGGAATTTCTTGAAAAAAAACCCTCATCTTTTAAGGTTAGGCAGGACAACTAAAACCATGTGGTCAAGGTTAGGAAAAGATCACAGTCATGGTCAAACAATAAAGATGTCAGTGCTTTCTATTGTGTGTGACTACAGGTAAACCCAGGGGACTGTTTACACACACATTAACCACTACTACAACCTCACATTTGTTTACTCACTCTTACCCTAAGGGTCATACCACTTTTTGCACTGCCACTGAAAGTTTTCACTGAATATAAAATGTTGTTAGTTAGTAAAGAGGTTTGTACGGAAGGCCTGAGATGCAAGTATGGAAAACAAAATTCTGGTGATCCATTTTAAGTCTCATCAAAATTGTTTTATATCCTGTGTTTATGAGTTCTGAACTACAAGCACACTTGCATCGAGCCAAGGGTGTATAGTTAAAATGCCTAAATTAGTTTAGGACATATAAAAGTTAAGAGTTACAAAAGAAGAGCACTGACTGCTTTCCTTAGGGCATGACTGGAAAAGTTGTCCACCAGACTCCTTTCGACTCCTTTTATCAGTTGACTCCTTTTTCCAGTTACACCTGAAGGAAGACCCAGTGTGGGTCGGAACCGGTCGGTGCTCTGCTTTTGTTTTAACTTTTATGTGCATTAAACTAATTAGGGCATTTTAACTATGCATCCATGGTTCAATGCTAGTGAGCCTGAGGTAAGCCCAGTGCTTTTCCTTTTTCTTTTTGCTTGCTTTTAATTGTCTGTAAAAAAAGTTCTTGCAATATATA